TTTTTCGTGACGGGGATGGCCCTCGGTGAGTCAGATCGACAACATCAGCCTGCGAGACTTGCTGGTTACTGGAAACCAAAGCTGCTTTACGACTTCCCAAACGTGAGTGGGTTATATCTTGTAAGTGATCTGTTGCTCACTGCTCAACCAATGTTGTGTCTCGTGTTTGTAGCGTATCAACGACCCACCTGATGAGTCTGTAGCCGATTTCTGCTTTCCGAGGGGTGTGCCTTTAACGATGTGTACTCCTGAACAAGCGAAATCAGTTTTCGGTGTGGCTGTGTCACAGTGGTTCACTGACATTGACCCACTTCAAAAGTACATCAAAGAATCTCCAGAGACAACCGGCTACACCTTCCGTCTTACCGGTGCAAAAGGCGAAGTGCTATACGGCTTTTGTGTTGCAGTTATGAGGGAAGTTACAACTGGTGTATCATCAGAGACCAGTCCAACAAAGAGCCCTCGTGGAAGCTGGGCGTCGAGCTGGTTTGGTGGTTACTCCTCACCTGCTAGCAAAGAAAGCCGTGCGAACTTGACGGCCAAGATGGCTCCGATGTGCTATTGCTTCACAAGCAAATTTCCCTTTTATCGCTTCCACTTTGCGGTAAGAATCATTGACTATGTGGTTATTTCTGACGATAAGCTACTAACACGGGACATGCAGGTACTACGAATGATCATTGAAAACGAGTTAGAGCAGCACAGACTATTATCAACTGCATCTATGGATGAATCAGGGAGCGAAGCTACAGAGGACGAGCGATTTGAGATCATTTTGAGACCACTGCTCGATCTTGCGATAGAATTCACGATCTTTCACGAAGAAAACCCTGCTGTGCGAGATCAAACCACTGAGTCGGGAGAACAGAGCACTATGAATTCTATTGCGACAAAGCTGAGCATTTCGCCAGTGGAACGACGTGCTGTTCTGAGTGAAGATGCTAGTGTTATCACCAGCAAAGGAGAAGATATCCAACCCAGCACTGAACCGAGAAGACGTCCGAGTAAACTTCGGAAAAGCTTAAGCACGGATGATATCGACAACTACAAATTAGCCAACACGTTGATAACGGACAAACCTATGGTAAAGAGTATTGACTCCAGTCAGCCTAGGGAATACGAGCGCATAAAAGTCGGAGATATCCTCGAAGCAGTCGATAGCATTGCAACAGGTACGCGCCACTATCCTTATCCTAACTGAAACTTACCGTATTCACGATTGCTTGTATGTGTTCATTTGCTTTGTAGCGTCCATGAGTTTTGAACAAACACTGACATTGCTAGAGAAAGGGAATCGTCCAATGCGCCTCCGCTTCCGTAGACCTGCCTCATCAGCACAAGCATCTCCAACAGCTACTAAGCGATCAAAGCATCGGCGGTGCTTGTCACCCTCTTCCGTCGATGTGCGTTGTTTGTATTTAACAGAAGCACACTATGTACTAACCTCTCGGTTGTATGCTGTCTCTGTCTTGTGTAGATTTTTCATCGAGCTCGACGAATCAAGATAAACGATCCGGGACACTGGTCTACGGCTCGGTTCCCGACTTTCGATTTCAGCTACCAGTTCCCGAAACGCCATTCCGATCGATGGTCTGTTGGGGTTGTGCTACGCTTTTTGACGCCAGACAAGGTAGTCGAGATATTGGCTTACTTGCTGCTTGAGAAGCAGGTTGTCATTATGAGTGACAGCCCAGCCAAGATCTCGGCCGTGTGTACGGCACTTCTGCTTTTACTCGCTCCATTCCAGTGGCAGTCGACGTATATCCCGCTGTTGCCTTCAGGGCTGTTAGATTTCTTGCATTCACCTGTGCCGTTCCTCGTGGGCTGCCATTCGCTGAGTGAAACATCCGAGTGGGCCGATGTTTGCTTCTACGATATCGACAAAGATCGTATTGCTGTACCTGCTGCGACGAGGCACTTAGGTCCATCTTCAATTCCCAACGGCGTAGAGATTTGTCGCTTGCTACGGAAAGCTAGAGAGCGCTTCCGTGCACTACGTCCCACTGGCAAACCGTGGTATGAACTATCCGAGGAGCAAGACACGATCATCACTTTGACAATGCAGGAAGCAGAGATTTTTCTGCGCGATATGGGCTTCGACATTTCTTCTCAAGACCTGGCAGCGTCGATCTCGGGTAGGCAATTCTATTTGAATTGTGTTTTAAGGGAATATTGTGGTTGACTATGGTGCATTTGTTATCACTGTTTAGGGGGTCAGAGTTTCTACGACCGCTTGCAAGAAGAGGTAGCCAAGGAAGTGCGGAACAGTGTCTACGAGGACTATTTGGACGAGTTTACGCAGACGCAGATGTTCTGTCAGTACTACGAAAGTCTCTTACAACCAGAAGCGCAAAACGTGCAAAAGTAATTGGAGACAACTTTAATAAACCTGTTGAAAAACGTGGGAAGTATGATCATTGGTGGCTAGCTCAGCTAGTAATCCACTACCTTCTTGATCGCCTCGAAGTTCCGCAGCGCGTCTGGAAGGTAATGCTGAGAATATCAATGAGAAATATACAAAAGTTAGCGAAAGGTTATCAGTACTTTACAGTGGAATAACATTATAGCTCCTGCAAACTCACCGATTCATACGCGAGTGGGAACGGTGTATCGTACCCGCACACACGCTGAATGGGGGCCTCCAAGCTCAAGAAGCACCGCTCCTGAATACTAGACGAGATTTCGGCGGCAAAACCACCGGATTTCTGTAAAAAGCAACCACAACCATTAGTTCGAATGAAGAACTTCACTACCACTTAATTCTGCTACCACTTACCGGAGCTTCGTGGCTGATAACTAGTCGACCGGTCTTGCGAACTGAGTGCTCAATTGTGTCAGCGTCCCAAGGGAAGATCGTCTGCAAGTCGATGAGTTCACAGCTGATACCGACGTCTTCAGCGTATCCACACGCTTCCTCCAGTACCCGCATCTGTGCGCCCCAACCAACTACCGTGACGTCCGTACCTCGTCGCACAATCTCCGCCTCACTCAGATTTTGTACATACTCTCCCACTGGCACCTATCCATCATCAACAGTTTGTCAGCAATGTACCACCAACCTTGCTACATCACCGAGTGTCTTACCTCTGCAACTGATGCGCGATACAGCGCCTTGGGCTCCAAGAAGAGCACGGGATTCGGGTCTCGAATAGAAGCCAGCAGTAACCCCTTCGCTGTCACCGGGTTTCGTGGCACCACCACTTTAAGTCCGGGTGTGTGTGCAAAGTACGCCTCAGGTGACTGCGAGTGGTAGTGGCCACCGTGACCCACAGCTCCATACGGGGCACGGAACGTGAGTTTACCGCAGTCGAACTCGTTGCCTGACCGGTAGCGGAACTTGGCTGCCTCGTTCACGATCTGGTCAAACGCCGGGAAGATGTAGTCGGCGAATTGAATCTCGGCGATTGCCGTCCGTCCTGTCGACGCGTAACCAATGGCAAAACCGGCGATTCCTTGTTCACACAGCGGTGAGTTGAAGACGCGATCGTCGCCGAACTTCTCACGAAGGTCCACCGAACAGCGGAACACGCCACCGAAGGCCACGTCCTCGCCAAATAGCACGGCAGAGGGGTCTGTCTCCATGGCCACGCGCATGGCGTCGTTGATGGCCGTGAACATGTTCATTTGCTGCGTCTCAAGCACAGGAAGAGCGTCGTCTTCCTCCTCTTGCGCTTGAGCTAGAGGTGGAGCCACGTGCAGTGCGCGGAGCTGTGGTGCACGACGCAGACGACGCGTCAGAGCGCTGCGAGACGAGGACAGCAAGGACATTGACGGATGCTTTACACTCTAGGAGGCTATTCAGGGACTGCTGGCGACGTTGAGCTTGAGCTTGAGCTTGAGCTTCTTCTCGACT